ACAATATGGACGCTTCTCCACCATGGTCATACCATTCCATGCTTCCTTGCATTTCAATTCGGATATTTTTTTATCCCCATCCTTCACTGGTCCATGGACTTGTTGATACTCCTTCATAAAAGCAGCCCTTATACACACAATATCATATACAATATCAGCAAATCAACATTAGCATTTCAATTCAATAGATATGCTTGACAACTTATTTCACAACTTATCATTTCAAAGATAAACATGTTGCATCAAATATTTACTAAACTTTCAGACAACTGAAAATTATGTCCAAAGGTTTAATTGAACGTCGGAGAAGAGGAAGCTACAGTGACGAAGTTATTAGCATTTCAATTCAAGAGATATGCTTGACAACTTATTTCACAACTTATCATTTCAAAGATAAACATGTTGCATCAAATATTTACTAAACTTTCAGACAACTGAAAATTATATTTGCTCAATAGAGAACCATAATTGATATAAATGCTATTCTTAACATTAATACTAAAATGAATGTATACTTACTTGAACAATAGGTAAACTCCTCATCCACGACGCATATTATTGACTGGTGCGCTACTGCTTGGCTGCGCATCATAATTCTCTTCGTCCCCCCGAACATTATAATTGTCATCACGAGTACGACTATGAGTACGAGTAGGACTAGATGATTTAGGGGGGGGGGGGGGGGGACAACCCGCAGAAGAAGATTGATTCCGCATCCTTTGCATCATACATTGAAGGGTAGGAGAAGGAGGCGGATCAACGACATTGTCCGTCTTTTTTTCCGTATATGTATTTTTTTTTCGTAAAGGACCTTTCTTGCGAGCTATCAACTTCTTGCGACCCATTTCTAAGTCAATCTTTATAGCGCAGCAAAGCACACTCTATTATGCATAAACAACCTTTCCACCAATTGTCAGTCAACAAAATTTTAAGAAAATTCCCCCAAATTTTAAATATATGCAAGTATAAATACACAGTATAATATATACATACACTAACATATACACTAACAATGTCAATAGACATGAGAAGATGCCCGCTTTCAAATCCAAATCACTGTTACAACCAACAACAACAGAAGGTTGTGGTGAAAAGAATCTGAATTCGTTCTCCTTCACTCTTTTATTAATATATATATACTAATTTACTCAACAGGTTATTTTTTACTTCATTGTTTATTTGTTTCCTTACTTTTCCCACTTGTGTAACTGACAATGATGAAATGTGGGAGCATTACTTTGTGGGAAATCATGAGAAGGTCTTGGGCTTATTTTCAAAAACATTACAACCAAGTTGAATTATTTATATTGAACAATCATAACTCTCAATGCAAACTTACATTTCATACAATGAAAAATTTATTCTAACATATTAAATTGGAAGTGTAAAAGCTCCATTTCTTATTTTACAGAATATCCCAAACATATTGTAGTATTTATCACGATTAAAACACTGCATTACAGGAATACAATGGAAATTTTATTCTAACATCTTAAATTGAAAGTTTAAAACATAACATATAATATAGAATATAACAACTTTTTCACAATTTATTAATATAATTTTCACAATTTTTGATTCAATTTTTCACAATTTAATAACACTTCAAGAATAACCAAACAAAACTAATGAAACACAATGTCATACGATTCACAAATTTACTTACAAAACCAGTACACTGTAGCTTCGTCTTCCTCAGCCTTAAATCAACCACACGACACTGCACCTTCCTCTTCCCCGTCATTCAATCAAACCTTTCCAAACAAATTGTAATTTTGGAAAAAAGAAAATTAACGAAAGCTGGGACAATGTAAGAAAGATCAATTTGTTTCTTTCTATATTTTGGGAGAGAAGAATAAAGAAAGTTCAGAACAGGCGCTATACCTTCGTCACTGTAGCTTACTCTTCTCCGACGTTCAATCAAACCTTTGGAAATAAATTGTAAATTTGGAAAGAAGGAAGACAAATCGGGAGAGAAAAACAAGAAAGAAAATTACATATTTCGAAGAGGCGATTCGTCACTGTTGGAAAGAAATTGTAAATTTGGAAACAAGGAACAAAAATTGGGCGAGCAGAAGTGGCGCGGATAAATTTGAAGTCCTCGAATCGCCCCTCAATCGCTCCTCACCTCCTTTCGACCTAGAAAATGAAGGATAATTTGGGATATTTTTGAATGTCAAGGATATTTTAGTAAATTCTCTCAAATTTTAAATATATGCAAGTATAAATACACAGTATAATATATACATACACTCACATATACAGTAACATATACACTACATACACTATAATAATGACTGAGGTAACTTTTTGTGGGCCAAATTTTTTAAATTGACGTGGCACAATCTGGGCCACACATCCGAATCGACGGTAACAGGGACATGAGAGGATTCCTTCCCGACTATGACCATGACTATTCAAGAATTAATGGAATACCTTTTCATATTTGTCTTTTCTGCTTCCAACTAATACAATTTTTTTTTTCTTTATAATCTTTTTGAGGGTTGAGAATATAGAAATGTTTAGTATGTTTAATGGAAAAGAACAGGTGTTTGTTTAGTGAACAATGGTTGTAAAAAGAGGATTATTAATTTTCCCTTTTCACTGTGAGTTATGGTTGTGTTAGTTACAAATTACACTTTCATTGTAATAGGAAATGCTCTATTTTTTTATTATCTGAAAATTATATAATAGTAAATAATGGTCAAAATAATATATATTTTTTGATTAGTCACATTCTCACATTAAAGTAAAAATTAAAACAACTTTGCAGTTGGTAATTGTGACATTTCAGTTTGAGCTATATTTGAAAAATAATAATTTTGTGATATTGATTTTTTTGTGCATGTGCGTGAGAGAGAAGGTTTCATAAGTTTCTAACCGTAAGTTTACAATGAAAGTACTTTTTTTTTTTGTTTTTTTGTTTTTTTTTTTTTGTAAAGGAGATGCCGTCCACTTGGATTTACATTTTTCGCTAACACTTTTCAAATAGGGGAAATTTAACAAATGACTAATTTTGAGATTATAATTACAAATACGACATGTATTAAAAATATAATTAATTATAAAAATTATTAAATTAAATAGTATAACTTATACAATATACTTCCTCCTTTTCATTGTGAGTGACAATTTTTACAGTACCTATCTATTATGGACAAAAAAAATAGGTTCAAAATGCTAGTCCTTTCAATATTTCCATTTATCTCCTCTCTCTATCAACAATCATGTGGACTACAGGGAATATTTACATTTCTCAAAATGTTCTCAATTATTTAAATAATATTATTTTCGTCCCATTTTAAATGTCAATTTTTAAAGTTATATTTTAAAAAACTTGACATTTAAAACAAAATAGAGGGAGTAATTATTAGTTGCTTGGACTATTCACTGTATTATCTTATTAAGATTGTGCATATTGTTTCAGTTTGGATTAACCATGGTTTCAGAGATCGAGCTAAAGATTAATTTCATGTCTTGTCACGCTAGCTTGCTATGGCATTACAAAACTAAAACAGTAAAATAGCCTAACCTCAGATGATCCCACCACGTGATGCCTTTCATGCCTAGGCATGTGCACACCTGCAAACTCTGATTAAAAACTGCAACTGGCATAGGAGGACGAGTTTTGGGGCTTAATTTACCAAAAATATAGTATATATAGAGTGTTAAGGGCCTAGGGCTGAATGACATTGGAGGAAGAGTGTTAGGCTTTTGTTGTTGTGGGTATAATACACACGCACACCGCATATTCATATTTCATATTATGCTCAAGGATTCATTTGCGGGTTTATCAGAGGTTTGTTTTTTTTCTGGGTATGAATGCCTTTTTATCTTGCCTGTGTTTGGTTAATGAGAAAATGGAATGATTTTTCAATGGAAAAGCATAACTAGAGTTGGTTTAGTTTGAAGTATTGAGTTTTCTTCGCTCTAAAATTTTTAATTTTCTTTTCTCGTCTTCTTTTTCCCTTGTTTAATCGCAAACCAAATAGAAGTTCTTAATAAATTAAGACTCTACAACGTCGTTCCTTATCGCGTATACTGAATTATTATTATTATTTTTTTTTAACTTTTCATTTCTCTGCCCTCTGCCCTGATTCAGAGATCATACATGCACTCTTCAGGTAAAATAACTCCGTTATTTTTATTATATTTTTGGGAATTTGATTTATTTTTGCTTATTTTAGGGTTTTGGCTCTAAACTACTAGCAATCAAGGGAATGTCACCTCAGTCCTCAGGTAATTGATTTTGGGAAAACTTGGAATTTCCCAAGTATTTTAGATTGTTATTTTTCTATTCAATTAATCTTTAGGGTGTGTTTGGTAGGGTTGATTTGGAGGGATAGGGAGAGAAAAGAAAAGAAAGGATAGTGTAAGTGTGTGTTTGGGTAAGTTAAGTGGAAGGATAGGGAGGGATAAGGAGAGATCTTTCATTTGCTTTCTTCTCAATTTTGAAAAGATAGAGAGAGATAGGGAGAGAAAGGATAGTGATTTTAGTGGTATTTTGATAATACCAAAATTAGCCTCCACAAATTAATACACAGATTTATTATTCCATTCAAGTCCCATGATTATGAAAAGGTAAAAAAGTAATTTGTTTATTATCTTTTCTTTTCTCTCCTCTATCTTATCTAAATAAGAATAACTATTATTTCTTTTCTTTTCTTTCCTGTCTATCCAAACACAAATAGAAATTATTACTATCCTTTTTTTTCTTTTCTTTTCTTTTCTCACTAAGCTATCCTTTCTTTTCTTTTCTCTCGTAACTAATACTATCCAAACACACCCTTAATAAAGAATTATGTTTCCTTAAAATTGTTAACTAATATCTGATTTCCATATGTTTGTAAGTTCAGAAATTTGTTTTGATGGTCTATTCATATCTCATATTGTACAGGCTTACCTCTTGGAAAGACAGTAGGGAAAAAATAGGTATGGTCCCGAGGCATCCTTTCAACTTTTTCGTAGTTTTAGTTTTTTGTTGAAATAAATCAGATACTAAGAATGTGACTACTTTATAGTAATTATAAAGTGTTAAACATCTAAAAACGGATTGTATTCCTTTTTGGACTTACATAAATCAAACAAACTGTGTACTCTCGACTAAAATGTGCCTGACTAAACTGACTTCTGTTGTTTTTGAAGGATGCATACTTTTGAACACTTTTATATATAAAGTCAATTGCGTTAGGTACCATAAATTTTTTTACATCGTAGTCAATTTTGTGATTCTCACAACTTTGGCCTAACTTCTTGTCCTTCTCTCTAAATTGCTTGTAAAAATGATTTTATCCCTAAAACATTCTGTAGAACAAAGTGGAAGCACCAAATTGGTTATAGCTATGTCTATGCATGTGCACTTGAAGTGTTGGAAAATAGTTTTTTAAATATGGTTGTCTGAGAGTATGTTGTGAATTGTACTTGAATTTTTGCTAATTGTTGGTACTCATTTTGTCAACAAGAAGAATTTTTATGAAAATTGTTTTTAGAGAGTAGCTCTTTTTGACAGAACAGTTCATAAAAATTTGTCGGGCATGCTTCCTCTTTCCTTAGAATACTACTTTTTACTTTTTTCGTGAGAGATCTAAAACTATTTGTTTGATCGTTTGTATCACGTTACTCTTACCTGTATGAAGTCTTAATAGCCTACTACAATCAAATTAAGCCTAGGCTCATAATATTGAAGTTTATTTTCAGTGTCCATTGTTGAGGAAGACACAAGGAACAACAATGGTGAGAAAAAGAAATCGATTTACTTTTTTCGTGAGAGATCTAATACTATTTGTTTGATTGTTTGCATCACGTTACTCTTACCTGTATTAAGTCACTCTTACCTGTATGAAGTCTTAATAGCCTACTACAATCAAATTAAGCTTAGGCTCATAATATTTAAGTTTATTTTCAGTGTCCATTGTTTGTTATCGCAGGACGAGGAAGACACAAGGAACAACAATGGTGAGAGAGAGAATTTGATTGAACATTTGGAGTTCTTTAACAGTTGTAATGCTATTACAACCTTCAAAAGAGATGTGAATATATGGATACAGATTCAACTAGCAATCCCATCAAAGAGAGTGCAGCTCAAGGAAAGAAAACGAGAAGAACAAAGAAGAGGAAATTTAGAGAGATAGTGATTGCATCTTTTGAAAATTCTGAAATAGACTCGGCCATATGATATCTAGTTGAATCTGTATCCATATATTCCACATCTCTTTTGAACGTCAGTTCTGGAAGCTCCAATGATTGATATAGATTCAACCAAAGACGCAATGAAAGAGAGGGCACCTCTAAAAAAGCGGAGTTGGAGACGGAGAAAGAAGTTGAGACCCAAACTGAGGATGTCAAGGAGAAAACTTCTTGTTCTTAATATAAATGGGCTGCTTGCTCATATTGTTAATGTGCCCCCAATGGCTGAGCATACACCAGGTGTACCAGGCAGGAGAGGTGAGAATGCAGTCTTAATGTTATTTGGAAACATTGATGATTAAAGTTGGAGGCATTTCCCAACTGCCATGCATGATCTCTAACTCTTAACGCATTGATTGATTTTCTGTTTCAGTTTATGCGACCCTTTTGTAATGATTTTATGAAGTTTTTGCTTTAGGAAATTTGATGTCGGTATTTGGACTTCGGACTTCGAGAGCCAAGTATGTTGGTTATTTCATCAACTTCTCTTGCATATTGATTTAACTCCTGGAAATAATTATTCTCATGTTTTTCCTGTTTATTGCCTACTGTTTCTATGAATTTCTCGAGTGCTAACCGTGTAGCATACACAAGGATGTTGTTGATAAATTGGTTAATAAATTGTTGGGAGATTTGAATCACAAGTTTTTTGGTTGGGCAAGTCTTCAAAGTGTCTGTTTATTTATTTCTTTTAAAAAATTCTGCGCTAAAGAGTTATTAACAAAAAAATGTTTTAATTGGGCCCATCTCAAATTTATTTATGTATTTATTTTTTCTTTTTTACGTTTTCAAGAAATATCAGCATATTTTCAACCTCTGTCTAGCAAAGGTGTGCATCACAGTTGATGCTTTAGCGTGCTTCTATCAGTTCAGTTTAGGCAGCGACAAGACGTGAGCCACTTTACTGGACCATACCTAAAATTTTCACGCAGCAGACCGTCCTCCATCTAATGATTAAATATTCTGATCAACGGTGATAAATATCAGTTATTGATATAGAGGTTCATAAGTTAGATGGCTGGGATTATCTGAATGGTGCCCATTTTGGATTGAATATGAAAGCAGAAATGGAAATATGTTTTAGAAAGCAAAATCAGCCAAAGTTACTATATAAGATAAGAGTATTATGGCTACATGAATACTATATACTATTCCTGTAGGTCATATTGTTTAGTTGCTTTTGGAAGTTAATATACATGTTACAAATCAATGGTACATATTCTCTTTTTGCAGGATGGATCCTGGGGATACACTCCTGGGCTTTTCTTGGGGAAGTTAACAAGCCCATGTTAGTTGAAGATTTGAGTAAAATATGGAAAACATTGATCCTAATCTTCCATAAAAGAGGAGAGATTATAATAAGTCAAACACATTGTTATTGGATGATACTCCATATAAGAGGGATTCCTTAATCCTGTAAGCTCGTTGCTCCTATTGTCACTTTATTTTCATCAAGCCTCATTTCTCAAGTTCAGTTTTTATCTTTTGATTGATGCCCTATTTCCTATTTTTGATTGTGTAAATATTATCATTTAAAGGCACACTGCAATCTTCCCATCTTCACATACGCCTATAGGCAAGAGCAACAGCAATTCATTAGGTATGACGTCTTCTAATATAATTCCCTTTTTTTTATTTTTTATGTTTTTTTATTATTTTATTTGTCTTCATCTTGTTTTTCTTTATAGAACGGGTGATGCCTTTGCCTTAATATTCAGTAATTCCTTCCATTTGTACTCGTGACATTTGCAATATGTATTGAGTCTTCGGATTGGAAATGTTAATTACATGGCTAGATGCTACACCATCCTTAGAATTACAAGTGTGGTTACATCATAATTTATTGTTTCTCTAATTATTTTTTGTTGCACATTATGATGTTAAATGACTTGTAATAGAGGTCTTGGAGGCGATATTCGTTCATATCTGAAGAATTTAGCAGCCACTAAATATATACGAACTATGTAAAGCGCCATCCATTTGGCCAACATGATCCAAAATGGGAATCATATCGCCAATGGTTGTGGAATTAAGGGAATCATATCGCCAATCATAATTTAGTCTTGACAAGTTTCTCAAATTTCTCTCTACTGGATTAGAAGGTTTTTTTTTTTTTTTTTTTTGTATTCCTGGATTAGAAGTTCTCTTTCTAGCTTATTGGGTTTTTCTGTTTACTTCATTCTCATTATTGTTGATTGGTAAAATTATTATCTCAATCTGCCTTGGTTTTTCATGTGGAAAACTGGGATGAGTTTGAATGGAAATGGTGACATAAGGTGGATGGGTAAATGGTGGCGGTACATTAACATTTTGAGTTTGGATGGAAATGAGAATAAAGTAGACGGGTAATATTGTCTGGTAAAAAAGAAAAAAAATAGTTGAAAGACCTTTAAAAAATGCACTCTCCAATCACCTTTTAAAAAAATGAATTCCTTTTAGCAAAATTTCTTATACAAAGGAATTCTCAATGAAGGCCTTCAAATGTTGAAAAGCTTCCCCGTAACGATGTCAAAAACTTGATGTAAGATTTATATGTACCACTTACAAGTACACAAATTTTTGTAGATGGGATTTACTTATAAGGGTGTCATATTCAAGGGACTTGTGTAAATTAAGTTTGTCAACAGATTTTTTAAATTTTAAATTAACTTGAAAGTAAGATAATCGAGTTGTGATGATTAATTTTAAATTAACTAAAATCGAAAAATAAAATAAATTAAAGAACGATGATTAAATAGGATGTAAAAAGTAGAGAGATGATTAGGTGTATGACTCTATCACTAACATCGCACCACCAGTTAATTGCATCAATTTATTAGAGATATATCATATAACATGAACAGCTACAAGCACATATTAATTCAACTAGAAAATAATATAATTTAAAACTTGGTATAAACCATTTACCTAACTACTTTACTCTAGGTGTAGTATGGTATATCTTTTCTAGGTATATTTCATAAAATCTCTAACATTATATTCAGAGAAATACCATGTGTAATCATCTCATTCACAACTACAAGAAGTGAATGAGTTGTGTTCAATCACAAGATTAAAATATCCAAGACAAGGTAGAAAAATATTTGTAATTAAATTAAAACTCTAAAACCGATATTGAAAAGTCAATTAAAAATCCTACAGATTACACAATTATGTATGATAAAAATTGTTCTCCAATAAATAAATACAATCAAACCAGTATGCTAAGTTAGGGCTAAATCACAACCCTAGTAAAGCGTTTAGCCAAGCATGACTGGAATGGAATTCTTCATGGTTGAGGAAGACATCTTCACCGCCATGGATCGATCTCTTCTTTCTTCTGAATGCCTCTCCTCTGATCTCAGCCTCAAGCTCCTCTATATGATCCTTCAATGCTGTAAAGGACTCCCTTTAAACAATAAAAGATCAGCTCTAAAGTTCCTTTTTTCGTATAGAAGATATACATAGAAATTCTGCCAAATAAGGACTCCAAAATTTATACAGATTTCTAGCCCAATTTTGACAAGGTAAACAGCTGTTTTATGGAATCCTCGTGAAATACAAAATTGTACCTTTTCGAATTTCCTTTCAACCATTCATGAGAATTTAGCTGTTTTGACACTCGAGGAGAGAGATACAGCCAGATTACCAAAACGGGTTCAAGTTACCAATTTTGGCTAAAGTTTCCTTTTTGGAGAAGAATTTTTCCTTTTCTTGTTCTTTCAATTCTCATCAACTTGTGGCTTCTTTTGGACTATTTTCTAAGTATAATTAGACTTGAATCTTCAATATTGATGGGTCCGACAGAATGTCATCTTTTAAAGCTCGGAATCCCTGATCTTGACTGATTTTATAATTAAAGCCTTGAAATAAATAAAAACAATAAAATAATGTAAAATCACAAATAAACTATTATTAAGGGAATAAAACATGCAAGTAAAGGGGTTAAAATGTTTAACATTCAGTGCCTAACACACCCCCAAACTTACATATTGCTAGTCCCATAGCAATAAAACTAGAGAAAACATAAATGCCGCTTTCGTGGGAATCACGATTGTATTTAGCATATGCAACAAGCCTTTTAAACCCCCTAGGTTATCCCTAGTGGATGAGTGAAGTCTCGTAAGGGAGAGATGATATCCACACACATACAACACAATTCAATCTTTTAGCAATCAACTTATTCTCATATCATCACAATAATCAAGGGGAAGACTACACAAAAGTACTTTAAAAATTATCATCTGACTATACTCCTTAGTCCCTATTTTCATATTTCACCCCAATGTTTCCCACACATTTGTGTAACAAGAATTACAGCAAAAATCAATCCCCAATGTTGTGAAATTCATGAACTAGCAAATCATCTATGTAGTAATGTCTTTTCAATTGAACCCAACTTCTATAACTTCAATTCCTCAGATCCCTTCTCAAGTTATTTTCTATGGCAAAATATTATTTATTTATTTATTTTTTTTATCCTTACCCTCAATTCTTCACGTGAACATTCTATGCTTATGAGACATGAGCCTCGATTACTCCATGAAAGGGTTCCAATTTTTTTTTTTTTTTTTTTTTTTTTTTGAATATCTATGCCACAGTAATAACCTTCAAAGTTCATTAATTTATATCCATCCATAGGCATCAGAATTCAACCAAAAATATAAATACTCATAGATAAAATTATAGTGTGCATGTGAAATCCATAGGGACCAACAATTACTAAAACTCCTGTCATACTAGATAATGGAACCCACATAAAATAAAGCACGAATATTAGGGATTCAAGACGATCTCAAAAAAGAATTTTAAAAAGTACTTAACTGTCTGAATCCCCCTAACAATTCTCAAATCCTTAAATTAAAGTCAATATACAAAAGAAAAAGAAAAAGAATTGGTTTTTTTTTTTTAAATTTTAAATTTTTAATATATATATATATTAACAACTAGAGTAGACTCTATGCCCCTAAACTTAAATTGGACAGTCTGCTCATTAGACACAAAATCAAAATTAAGAAAAATAAGAACTAAAATAATAATAATAATAATAAAAACACAAAACGAAAGCACCTGGCAGAATAGCTAAAATAGAGGCGGCGGAGCATCGGGATTAAGCCCGTTATGAATCATAAGCCCATGCATCATGTCCATTATTGATCTTTGATCCTGACAAATCATCCTCTGTTCCTTAAGAATCGTCCTCTGCCCCTCCAGAATTGTCCTCTGCCCCTAATGGATTTCTTGAACTTCAGATTGGAGTTGGGTCACCTTACCCACCAAATAGTTATAGGGATAATCATCAGCGTCATCCTCGTCATCACTGGTTGCCTCTGCCATAGGCTCATCATGGGGTTCATCAGCGGACTCATCTTCTATGACCTGTCTAGTAGCCAATTGATTTGGATGAACAGGCAAAACTTGTTCACCCTCCACAATTTTGCGAGCCGTTTCTCCAGGTGTAGCAACCACCTTTAATTTCATGTGAGATCGGCTGCGATTCCAATCAACCTCACCATAGCAATCATTGTGCTTAGAAGAGAACGCATCTGTAGCAATAGTGTAGCCCTGAGAAGTTAGCAGTCGAATAACAAAGAATGGTAAAGGAAACTCCCAATCTTTTTCTTTTTCCGGAGTTTGCTTAATCACCAAATCATAAAATTTTCTAAGCTGCCCATAGATGATTTCCGGAAAGATATCTGATGGCCAAAATGGATGGCATATAAGGCACGCAAAAAATCTTGACAACGCTCAAATTGATGAGTAAGAGGGCACACATTATGAAAAAGTATGGCATCGGCGAACCATAGGTGTAATGGCAAAAATGATTTGGTAGTAGAATTATATTTAGAGCCTGAGAAACGACTAACAGCAAGGCGAATAATCATCAGTCTAGTGGGAATCTCGGACATCGGAGTGAAAATTGACTTCAAATCAACCGGGCATTGATGTGGACATCCCAAAGCCATGGTAATCGTCGAAGGAGTAATGCGAATTATAGTACCATCAACGGATGACATTAGTGCTCCCCGTTCATCTGGATTGGAATGAAGATTTGATAAAACACCTTGACTAGTCTAGGGTACATGAGTTTACCAGCCGGCTCAAAAAGGTATTCAGCTCGCCAACGCCGTAAATCTACAATGGGCCACTAAGTTTCCGGAATGTTGTGATTTAGAATGGCAATGTCAAAACCCACTTCATGATTAAGAATTCGACCATGCCACCTCTAATCTATGGTATCTCGAAGAGTTGGCCGCCTCGTGGAAGATTGAAGGAAGCGACTTCTAGAAGCATCGCCTTGAGTGGTATTTTTCTTTCTTGGGGCCATTTAAGATAAAAAACCTCTTTGCAACCTTTTCTCGAACACTTGGTGGGCTCCTCCAAATTCTTGCTTGGAATCTTTGTTTTCCTCTCCAAATTTGTGCAAACAATATGGCAATCACTTAATTGCAATGGAATTGGGATGGTGAAGGATATATATATATATGGTAGGGTGGAAGGAAGAAAAGAAATTAGGATGGTAAAGGTTTTCTAATGTGTATAGGAATGGTGGTGTAGGTGAATTTTGGTTTATGGATTTATTTTGGAAGATGAAATTGAATTTGGATAATGGTGATTGAATTTTGTTATATGTAATGATGGAAGTGTAACGACCCAGGTTTTATTCAACCCGGTGGGTCAGTGATGAACCGAGGATTGACCCGATAATGGATCCGAAATGCGGAAGTGAAAGATAAACCAAGGTCTCTAGAGATAGAGGTCATCCCTAAGACACTAATGTGCCCTTCCATGAAGTCATAGAACTCAAGAAAAGTGAATGAGCAAATGGGAGTCAAAACGGGCTAAATCAGTCAATTAAGGGCAAAATGGTCAATTCACAAATAAAAGGAGAAAATTGACTCTAAACAAGTCAAACAAGTTGGATACAACCTAATCTAATCATTTCATAACATTCCAAGACGAGAATCCCACAAAATGCCCTTTCCCGGTTCAAGCAAAAATTGACACTACCTCACTAAAAACTGAATAATTCCCACTGTGTTTTGAATCTGAGAAAGGCATTGGTACCATTGGAAATCTGACTCAAAATCTATAAGTTTAGGCTCAAGAATCACCCCCATTTGGTTTAGAAATGAAGGAGATATGACCGTCTGAAGTTGGAATTTCAGTGTTGAAACATGATCTGGAAAGTTGGCGTGTGGGGGCTGTTTCGATCCACCGAACTGGAGTTTCGGTAGACTGAACTGAACATAAATTTGTTGA